CCATGTGAGTCCTATTTCTTTCCCTTGCTGTTCATCATTATCTGCTTGTAAGTTCCTTTAGCCATAGCTGTATCCGATATTCCCTTGTCTTATGCCTTGTACAATTTTCTCCCGTTATTTTTCCCCAGTTCCTTCATTAACAAGATTTCTTTTCAGCCGTGCTGACCTCAGTCCCAGTTTATCTTGTAAATGAAGATCAGGTAATCAGGTACTTGGTTTTACTTTGTTTTATGTTTAGACTCCTTGGGAAGAAGGTTCATGTGCAGATTGAGGTGGGTGTGTGTGAAGGTATAACCAGCTGACTTAAATGTGCCTGCCCGCTCCACTTGGTATCCAACTCCTACCCTCCAAGTCTGCTGCCTCCCTCAGTAGGTGTGCTCTTACAGATCTTATAGTCTCATTAGATTTACAGGTTCTGTTAGGGGTGTGGTAAGGTTCTCTTACACAGTCACCTACTTACAGCTAGATATCTGATGGAGAGTCTTCCTCAGTTGGGGTTTTAGTTGAAGAAGTTCAGCTGTAGGGGAAAAAAGCCAGCTCTTTGGAAATTCTGCTGGAGTGTAGGTAATAACTAATGATTCATTCCGTCTGTTGCAGCCAGGGCTGCTTGCAGCATGATGTGAACACTCACGGATGAAAATAAGATTGTTTTTTGCCAGAGGGTATAAATAGCAGGTGTTTAGAACTCCTTCACGTACAGACATTCTTAGCATTTAGACTTGGCTTTTTGAAAGTTGACTAGCTTTTAATTTATTATGCCATTCTGACCAAGAACATGCAGGAAGTGCGTGTACGTATATCTTTATGCATACGCAGATATTGAGGCTTATGTTTGTTTATGTCAGGACTCTGAAATTAATGGCCGCCTCAGTGACTAATGTGCAGAGTAACAGAAACACATAACAGACCGCCGCAGACTGAAATATTTCTGGCTTGAGTTTTTGACGACCAAATTTACTTAGGGAAAGTTTTCTGCTTTCATCCACTGGGATGAAGACTCCACCTAAAGGAGGGTGAGAGAAGTGGTCTGGTTTCCCTGGCTTGCCTTCCAAGAGTCGTCCAGCTGCGTCTGCCTTGTGCAGCCTGGAAGGATTACAGGACTTGGGGGATATGAAGGGAGAACCAAATATTAGTTGTCTGTCTGAGAGCAAGGGAATGACTCTGCCAGTTGTACAGGGATCAGCTTATCCCTCCTTCACAAGAATAACCCTTCATTTCCTGTGTTTTGAAACAGATATCAAGACGACAGCTGTGAGAAAAGGCAATGAGTATGTCATAAATGGTGGCAAGATGTGGACTACGTCCGGGTGCCAAGCAGATTGGATGTGCCTGCTGGCAAACACCAGTGAAGGACCTCACCATCAAAATAAATCTCTCATATGTCTGCCAATGAATCTACCTGGTAATAATGCAAAATTCTTTCTCTTCTAATTTGATTTTATTATTGGCTTTGTGTATGCCCAATACAAGGAGGAAAGGTGTTTGACAGAAAGGACTGCAGCCATAAATACTCTTCTGAGGTGTTTCACAGTCATACAAAGTTGATTCTGAATTGCATTTGCACACTTCCACAAAAAAGTAGGGGTCGAGGAAACGAGAAGGAAGTTAAATATTTTGCAGACTTCAGCTTGTGACTCCCAAATAATTCTATATGGAGAGCCCTTTTCACCAAAAATAAATTTATAAAAGTTGTTCAGATATATTTGCATGGGAATATTTTATAACCTTCAGTGAGAACGAATAGACAAGTCAATGCCAAGAACAAAATTAATGCCTCAAAGAAATCATTAAAAATAGAGCCAGTATTCTTTATTTTTTTGAAAGTTATAACATCCAATCTTTTTTAGTTTTGGAGAAGTTCCACAAAACTTTTGTCTTTGTTTTCTATCTCCAAAAGGCATGAAGATGCAAACAGTCTGCAAAATAAAAAACATATTATTCTATTTGCATAGACCTTTGCTACATATGAACTATACGTAAGATGTTCTTAAATTATCTTTCCAAAATAATGTTAAACTCTTTTTCATATGTTTTGTATGAGGACAGATGAACAGAATATATACTTCTATTTTCAATGAATGGAGAAGTACTTTTAAGCTTGCTGTCTTATTTCTTCAGAAAATATTAAAAGTTATTCTCAAATGTGAAAATAAAAGGATAAATAGTTTAGAAATTTCAAGCTTGGGAAATACATATACCACCCAACACAATCTTATCCCACGTGCCAACACCTGCCTCCCAGGAGCCCATGGGCAGTACCTGACTCTGTTAGGGTGGGTTTACAGACCAGCTGTATTGAGTACTAGAAGGATCATAGAATCAATTATAGAATGGTTTGGGTTGGAAGGGACCTTAAAGATCATCTAGTTCCAGCCCCCGTAGTGGACATCTTCCACTAGACCAGGTTGCTCAAAGCCCCATCCAGCCTGGCCTTGGACACTTCCAGGATGCAATGCTGTGCTGTGATTGTATTGTGTGGATGGTCCTGATCTTCCTCCAATAACCATCCTCCACCACCCAACCTGTTGGGCTTGCTGAAGAGAAGTGCAGCCATACCCAGGGTGCTTCACGGCTCTGCTTTGCAAAGAGATCTTTTTACCAGGGTGCTACTATCATTATCAGTTTAAATTACAAAAATAGTCTGTGAGTTAAATGTGGGCTGGAGTGAAAGCTTCAAAGATCTTGGAAGTAGGGATTTGTTTTTGAAGAAGACTAGTAATTTGGGTGAAGACACTGAAGAAATACATCCTGATCTGAGGGTACAAGTTTCAGTGGTACAGTCCACACAGTGTCTGTTCCCAAGTCGTTTGCAGACCTTGCAGCAGCAGTGCGCTGTATGCATAAAGGACATCATTCAGAGAGGTTACAGTTAAGGTTATATTGGTGGGGACCTTTTGCAGTTTTAACACCTGTTCGAAAGTTTTTAAACCTTTTTGGTTTTCACTCATTTCAATATTTTTAAAAATTATGCAATATGTGAATTTATTTAATATATACTGTCTAATATATTTTAACGCATATTTTAAGTATAGAATATCTACTTAATATATAATAATTTCTATTAATGTTATTTATATATTAATATAAAATATTGAAACCTATTATATTTTTTCTCATTCAGTTCAGAGTATTTTACATACAAAATACATGTCATTATCAGCATTTTACACGTAGGGACACCACCATGGCAGTGAAGTGAAGGTTCACTTAATGGATCAGCCTGAGAACAAAAGCCAGGTCTCCAGTGTTGCAAAAGAGGGTGATGAGAGCCACCTAAGGGAACAATGTCTTGTAAGTGAATTTCAGTGTGGAGTGAGTCAGGCAAGCGAGTGAGTTGCCTTGGGAATTAAGCAAGTTCTGAGTGAGTTGTGAGTTTCTGCAACCTCTGCTCATGCAAGACAGACTTTGAATGGGAGCTCACAGAAAGTGGACCTGAGCTGCTTCACCAGTTGTTGCCTTTGTCCTTATCAATAAGACTTAGAGGTTTTCAACTACTTTGCTTATTCCAAAAGGACACATGAGTCATTGCAGCTTTAGGTGGGGGTGTTGTTGGGTCACACAGCCTATACACAGACCTTCTTTACCTGCGGTAAATAGATTTTGAGTAGAAAGATTCCCTGAGTCACCTGAACCTGATCTGCAGAAGTCATCCTAGAAACAAAAATTGCACTCCTCAAAGTGTACTTTTGTTCTGTGTCATACAGATACTGACCTCCAGAAGGGTCACTGTACCAAGACTGGTGACCTTTTGAAATTAAGTATTAGGATAGTTGATTGTGCTCAGTGAGTGGGCCATATCAGAAGTGAGATTTTTCAGGAAGACAGAGAGGAAAAGTATGAAAAAGGCTGCCATTTGACACAGATGTGAGCAGGAAGCTCCAGCTGTTTTGGTACATCCTAAGGATGTCTGGCTACCAAAGGTTGTGCTCCTTGGAGGGCTGCAGACCAAGACTATACGGGAAGTGTCTGGAGGACATCACTGAATGATGCACTATCAAGTAGCTGTAGATGTATGTGTGTCAAAGCTCAAGAACGAGTGTGTAATGTCTGACTAACTGCGGCAATCACCATCCTATATGGCTGGGTAAGGAAGGGACCCATGGTATAACTCATTCCTTGCTAGCAGCTAGAAGGACATGGGACACTAGTCCAGCATTTTTTGCGAAAATCTTAATTGTTTCACACTTGTATAACATGGTGATTAAAAAAAAAAAGTCCCAAGGCTGAAAGCGAATTATTAACTTCAACAACTTGTAGTTTATTGGAGATATGAAGTAGGATTTGCCTCTTCTAATTTTAGGTCTGTACAGTGTCTGTTCTGGGGTGAAGCAAATCATGGTCTAGATTTGACAGATGCTGCTGAATACATTTCTCATAAAGGGAATTTGAATAACAGCAGTGTGGATTCACAGGAGATATCCAAATTAGGTTAATACTCCTCATACTAACAATGTCTTAAAAAAAAAATGCTGAATTTCTCATATGATAGAAGAGAGTCTAACAAGTTGTAAAATCTCTGTATGTAAGATGTGTAGACGTATGGCTTGCAGCCCTAATCTAGTAACTATTTGTGTGCTGGTTTGTCCTCTGAGTCCTCAGATAGCGCTAGGGTAGATTGCAAGGAGGAGATAATAAAGAGAAGAGTGTTCAGGAAAGGGGAAGGAGCATGTTTCTCAGATTGCAATTTAAAATGTGCCTGTTTCCATTTGTAATGGCACTAAATGGTGTCAAGACAGAATTACTGTCTTTCAAGATAGAATATAGGAAATAAAAGAGATCATCAGAAGGCTGGAGGAGTGGGAGAAAATGAAAAATCAAAGACGCCTGGGAAGAGCTGCCCAGGAAGAGATACAGAAATCCATCTCAGTGATACTGGTGCAAGTAGCACAAATGGCTCTATTAGTGTGCTTATAGTAAGTCATGCACTTGGCCTTGCTAGATTGAGATTTGTGTGTTACTGGATGGTTTGTGATTTACTTAATACGGACAAACTCCAGGAATTATCTGGGCAGATGATTTGTACTGTTGCTGGCAATTTTTAGTATATAGTACCCCTTATGAAGAGAATGAAGATAATTAAACTAAGTAAAGGAAGATTTTGATACCCGTATTGTAACCAGAGAGGTAATTATGTATCGTCTTCAACAAAGAGAAAATGTAAAGCATGTGCTAGCAACAGAGGGGGCACTATGTAAGGCTGATGCAGTTTGGCCTCCTGCTGAATGAGAAACGTAAATTAATTTAAAAGCAAGTGAAACTGGTAAGGCACAACAAATTGGAGATGCTGCTGGATTCAGGAAACTTGAACACACAACCCAGTCTGGAGGAAGTATGGGTAGAAATCATGAATGCATTTAGGACTTCTAACCAAACCTATAAGAGCTTTCTTCAATAGTTGTTGTTGTATGTGGATTTGAGGAGGTACACAACAGGACTGATTTAGCAATATAAAGAACTGGCAGCAGTTGTGCTTTTTACAACAGAGTCCTTAAGTAAACCACTCACTAACAAGAGCAGTAAGTGCGTCTTCATATGGTTGAGGAGCAGTGATTGCATAAAACCAGCTGGAAGCAGGTTGAAGGCATCATCTCTGAGACTCTCAGAGAAACTAAGTAGTAATATTCCAATGGGAAAAGATGCTCCAGAAATTGTTTGGGCAAATGGTTCAGTGTGTGTTTGTGTAGCTCTGATTTTATTACAAAAACAAAGCACAAATGCTTTTTTGGCATGACCGGATGCAGATTGCTGGATGATTTTCATCCCAAGAGTCAAAAATTTTTATACAGCTGTCCTGATTTTCTTCCTACAATGAGCAGATATCAAAGCAAGTATTCCTAACACAATCTGTTTATAGATTGGCTGGTGGAGAAAAATCTTGAGTGGAATGTGTGGAAGTATATGTGGACCTTATTCTAAGAGCAGTCTTGGCATTTGGAAATAGTGTCAGTATTTCATCTCTGCGGAGAGATGAAACTTGTCATAACCTTATTCAATGCAGCTAGAGAGAGTGAATTTGAAGGGAATGGCTGCCAACTCTTCTGCCTGCAAAAACAAAGTAATTTTCACATGGCTGAAGGCCTCGTGTCAGTAGAAGTTGAAATGCCTTAGTTCAGAAAGAGAAGTTCAGTGAAAGCCACGAAGAATAGCAAGGAACAAACAAGTACAGAGAGAGACTGCAACAATCCGTGTGGTGACCAACTCCTCCTGAGCTGTGTTAGAGAGTAGTAGGGGATTGGACAAAGACAGAATAAAGAGGAAAATATTACCAGAATACCTCTTCATCACAAAACTGGTTAGAATACCGTGGGTAGTAAAATGTTTGGTTTTCTGCAAAGACATATATGCTGATTTGGAGGACTGTTTTTCTACATATATTGACTTGGCAAATGTAATCGGCATGTTTTGCACAAATCCTCATACCTGGTTGTTGGCCTCAGTTTACCTCTGAAACATTCCTGAGTTCCATCCCAAATATTCGCATTAGCTCCAGAGCAACAAGGAGGTAAAAACAGAAGATGAGGGAATTGCCACAAAAATCAGTGGATGTCTGTTAAACTCCCATGGCACAGTGGTAAGCTGTGCTTGCATCTGAACAACAGCAGGAAAGAACTTGTAGCTAAGGAAAAAAAAAAGCCAATGGGGAGGAGTCCTACCTGGTGAGACTAGGTAGCTGAAGTCTTATGTGGTCAAACCTGAGGGAACCAGGTTCATCTCCAACAGACCACTGCACATGGGGTCAGAGTCAGTGCTATGTAGGGAAGTCTGTGGGGAAGCAAACCTTCTTCACAAGCATGTCCACATGAAAACTGAGAGGAATGAACTGTGATCATTATGAACACTTCTATGACTACTTAGATGAACTAAACAGTCTTTTGTAGGCCATCATAAAATACAGTGTTTTAACAAAATTTGGAGTTGATATGGAATTGTTGGATGTTTGTAGCAGTTATGAATTTAAGTCCAGCTTTTTATTATCAGGAAAAAGCTGTGTGGTGTGATTATGAACTCTACCCTGATTTTTCCTGGTACCTGTAGAAGACAGTCTAGAAAGGAGAGGATAAATGTGGAAGAGAGGGAAGGAAGAAGATTTCCAGGGGGAGGAATTCTCTAGTTGCAGCTTAAAAAATAGTTCTGATTTTGTCATTATTAAATATTTCTGTACTGTTTCACAGCAGTAAAGGCACTCAGCAAATACTTCTAAGTTGAATGCCAGCGTTTTATTAAAGTGCACAAAAAAATCAAACTGAAGCAAGTGAATATTGCATTGTTTCAAGACATGCATGAAGTAAGATTATTACTGCGAGTAAACAGTTATTATTTGGGAACATAATGAAAAGTGGGACCTTTACAATTGCAGCTTTTGATTTGCTAGTTAAATAAAATGGAAAAACATTTCAAAATAGGACGTGGGCCATTTTACTCTTAAATTCCAGAATACTGTTATGTTTTTCCTAAAGGTAGGTTTCACTGTAGTCTTGGCACATACCTGCACATCTGCAAACTTTGCTTTCTTAAAATGCTGTACTTGCACATTGTGACCTTTCTAATATCCCTTTTTCTTCAGGCATTCATGTTGCTAAAAAGATAGACAAACTAGGTATGAGGTCATCAGACACAGCTCAGATCTTTTTTGAAGATGTAAGGGTCCCCAGCAAAAACCTCATCGGTGAGGAAGGAAAGGGTTTTACATATCAGATGTTGCAATTCCAAGAAGAGCGCCTGTGGGCAGTAGCAAGCGGTAAGTCATCGTTTGTGCTTCTGGGGCTGGGCAGGGACACAAGGGTCACCCTTCGCGTCACTAACAGCACTTTCCTTTTATTGTAAATTGTGGTGACCTCGTACAATCTGTTCTTCAAATCTGTCATAGCCTGGATACAGACAACCTTCCCTTTCTGTAGGAAAACTTGAAATAGAAAATATTTTATGAGGCATCACAGGGACTGGTTTTGCCTTGTTTCTTTCTCTTGGTGCTTTTCTGATAAGAAAATATGGCATCATGTTATGTCTGCTACAAATATAGTACAAAGTCTATCAAAATGCTGGCATGAAATAGAAGGATGGTGGCTTTTCCTGTAGTACAGTAAGCTCTGATGTTTATCCTGGATTTTAGAAAATTAACTTGGTGGCTGTGCAAAGAAGTGGCTTTTAAAGAATGCAAGAGCTTTGTTTTGTGGCTCTGTTTTACCTCTGTATACTTTGGACATAAATGGTACAGGACCAAATTCCTTTCCCTGAAGTTATGCTGTCACAGAGTTCCTGTTACTCTGAACTCAGACCGTACTCAAATCGCATATTTGAGTTATATGGATTCTGGGTACTCCAGGTAACCAGATCCAAGACTGAATTATCCACCTTCAGCCTCCCAGCCTCCCCCCCCCCACCCCACAGTGTTTGCTTCTTCAACTTAAATGTAATGTGGTTCACTGTAAGAAGATTGACCCTCTTTAAATTTTTGGGTTGTATAAACAATCTTACCATATTCATGCTTCTGTGCGTAGCCTGTCTGTTACTGTCTGTGTGTGACCGGGGAATCAGGAACTCTAAGAAGTGATTTTCTGATTCAGTGACCAAATAAAAAAATCACTCCCTGTTGTGGATTGATCCTAGACCAAATATTTTAGACTTCAAATGCTTTAAAAAAATTCTTGGTTTCGGTCAAAATTCTTAGTTCAGCCTGAAATAAATAATAAATGTGAGAGTAGTTTTAGCAAAGAACAGGAGGTTAGACTTGCAAGGGATACCACTGCAGACTCAGGCAAGGAGGAGACACGGTCCTACTGCTGGTCCTGCTTTAATCGAGGTGTACAGAGACTGCAAATATGTGCGTTGTGCATTTTTATGCTCAGTTTGAAGTTTAAGTTAAACAAAACAATCAGAAACTCTGGGTTGCAGTGACACTCCCCAGGCAGCAGAGTAGCCCACGGTGTTAGTCATGCCCCAGGCAAAAGTGACGCACACTGACAGCATCGAAACACAAAGCCTGGCAGGTTAGATCACTCCTGTTAAAACCGCTGGCAGCTTGGTACTGTCCAGCCTTGCACAACTGCCCAGCAGTCACCGTGCTCTGCCAGGAAGCAGGACACCAGGTTTCAATTCTTCTTTTTGCCCAGAATGACACAGCGGGAGCAGGCAAACCCTTGCCCTGAATGAGCAGTCTGGGAAGGGCATCTTCGCTTGCCCCTCCATGGCCAGGCAGGGCCAACAGGGAGGAAGAGCCTTGGAGCTGACCGAGGGAGAGGGAGCTGCCTCCTGCAGTGCGGTGGCCAGTGTGTTATACCTTGCTAGGTCCCCTGAATTTGCTTTTATCCACTATCTGATATAAAATGCATGAAGGCACTGGGAGCAGGGACAAGACCCATGGTTTGGGCCAAGTTGCAAACTTCAGAGGTAACTAGTTGTGGTAAACCAGAAAAAATAGTAACCAATGTTCAGAAGGGAGTGAGGTGCTTGATAAATGTGGTTTGTTATATCTAGCTGTTAGTTACATCTAGCTGTTACTTCCAGTCCTGCAAATGGTTTTACGTATGTTCAACCACAAGTGTTTTGCTGCTCAGATGTGCAAAACTATGTGTATACTTTCAGTAGTTTTGTGATTAGATCTGCATGTGCAATCCTGGTCCTCACTTCTGGCCCTCAGAAGGATGTTTCTGTTCCTTCCCAGTTCATGACTATTCATGCGACATTGAGAATCATCAGTCTGCTTTAAAACACTCTAGGGACCAGTCCTGGCATCCTCACTTTCACTACTTCCTAAAACTTGGAAGAGGCAGTTGACTGCCATTCTTTCCTTTCTTTCATTTTTGGGCGTTGTTTTGTTTTGTTGTGTTTGGGGGGTTTTGTTTTGGTTTGGTTTTATGTATTTTTATTATCAAGTATCAAGTGCTCTAGCCTTCTCTTTCTTTATTTATTATCTTCTTTGTGGCCAGATTTCAGAACATATGGGGAGTTTCCTTCCTTCTTCACTGTTTGGTGTTTTTGTCCCTTTAAAATGAATTTTCAGTCAAACAGACTTAAAATATAAATAGAGAACTAGTTTCCTGGAATTGCAAAATTTGGTCACAGGTGTGGTCTTTTCCAAGTGACACGTTATCAAAGGCATTGGTAAAAGTCGCTGTGTTTCTTGCTTCATTGAAAGAGAAGAGCTGTCACATACCTCTCCCATGTTGTGACACTTGGTAAACATCGTCCATTTGTGGACCTGTTGCACTGATCACAGGAAAAGAATGTTGCTATGGCAAGAAAGCAAACAGTTTTTCTGTGAATTGCTTAACTTGGAGGCAAAGAGGGAGTTCAGTGTGTATGAGAGAGCAGAATGGCACTTTTCTAATTAATTCTATCTGCTCCTGTACTCTCAGTTTTATGAGCACCATTGAGTCATGACCAGTATGCAGGATGACAGATCCTTTTGCATGGGCAATGTACGTCCTTAAGAGGCAGATTGCTCAGCTTGGAGTTCACCGTACATCTCACTAGAGAGTGATCAGCCACAACCTAAGAAAAATACGTTAATTTCCTTTTGTTTTGAGAGGAGACCTAGCCAAGAAAAGTGTATTTACAGAGAGTAGAAGTTTCAAGTGGAAAAATATAAATTGGATGGAGGTACGAGGAAAAGATTATTCTGCATCTGGCAACTTCAAGTGCTTTCACAATTCTCAGCTGTGTGGTAGACCATGCATTCCTTAGGCTGCCCTAGAGTGATGTTTCCTGCATGTGCTGTCAGTTGAAACCCACGGGGCCAAGTTTGTCTGAGGACGTGGAGAACATTGTATGACAAAAGAGGAAACAAATATATGGGGTGAGGGGGAAAGTTCAGAAAGAAAAGTAGTTTCACTGTTAAGAATGGCATTTCTCTGTACTTACATGACTGCAAAGTATTGTGTGCTGTTACGTTGTACAAGGCTGTTGGCAGTCATGGTATTCACAGTGTGCTGCATTTCTTTGCTGTTTGCTGCACAACTAAGCCTTGCCGTGTTAGAGCTATGCTCATAGCTCTAAATGTCTGCAGTCATAGCATCACAGAATGGTCTGGGTTGGAAGGGACCCTTAAAGATCATCACATCCAATCCCCCTGCCATGGGCAAGGACATCTTTTACTAGATCAGGTTGCTTAAAGCCCCTTCCAACCTGACCTTAAACACTTTCAATGATGGGGTATCCTCAACTTCTCTAGGCAACCTGTTCCAGTGTCTCAGCACCCTCATCATAAAGAATTTCTTAGAATAATAGAAGGGTTTACATTAGAAGGGACCTTAAAGATCATCTAGTTCCAACCCCAAAACATTCTTCCTTATGTTCCTTCTAAATCTACCCTCTTTCAGTTTAAAACTGGTGTCCCTTGTCCTGTCTCTACAGGCTCTGGTGAAAAGTCCCTCCCCAGCTTTCTTGTAGGCCCCTTTTAGGTACTGGAAGGCTGCTGTAAGGTCTCCCCAGAGCCTTCTCTTCTCCAGGCTGAACAACCCCAACTCTCTCAGCCTGTCCTCATAGGAGAGGCGCTCCAGCGCTCTGATCATCTTCATGGCCTCCTCTGGACTCACTCCAT